GGAACATCAGAGGTCTGCAGAAAAAGCATATCAAGAAAAGACAAATAGTTTCCAGGAGGATATGTATGCTACGTTACAACTAATACAAATCACAATGACTTCAAATCATGAGGAAGTCAAAAATAATTTTGAAAATTTAAATGAACATATCTTCAATTTAACTTCACAGCAAACAAACTCAGAAAACAACAAAAGAGAGCAATCAAGTAAAGCAGATAACTGAGCATAAACCAGAGGAAAGAGGCTTAAAGATGAAATTTAATAATGGAAGGAGCTATGATTTAACCCTGGTGGAGAAAAACCTGCAGGAAATATTGGACATGGAAAAGACAATTTATGCTTCAAGGTTGCAAAATAAGTCTAAGGACAAGAAAATAAAGGAGAACTACGAGAATTGGAGAGACAAAGAATGATAAGAGAAACTATGAGACAGAAAGAAAGAAAAAGATTTTCAAGGAATATGAGGCGAAGCATCCCCACAAAAACACCTTACTTAACTCATCTCTCATACCTACAACTATATTTACAAAACTATGGGAAGATTCTTTGGTTCAGAGGAGCACACTTATTAGGAAAGATGCTTAGCAAAAAAAGGGCTAAAGTTAAAATTAAGAAATTAGATAATGGGACTTATCGGATGGAATATTTAAAGATTAAGCACTTGCTTGAATATGGTTAAAAATAAAATTGTGGATATAAATGAATTTTAGTTTAAGAGGGATAGACTTTTTAAGCAATATAGAATTCTTTATTTATGATAAGAAAAATATAAAAATGGGATGATTTATATGAGGGAAATGTTTTAGATACTTAAGGATAATGGATTTTGAGAAAATTTTAATTAATAAAAATGTTTTGAAAAGTTTTAAAAGATTAACTGTGGATTTATTAGATGGAATACTTAAAGATTAAATATTGGTTTGAGTATGTTTAAAAAGAATAGAATTTTTTGGATATAAATGTAGTTTAGCTTAAGAGGGGCATGTTTTTTAAGTAGTATATTCTTTCTTTTTTTCTTTTTTGTTTCAAGATATGAGAAATGTAAAAGTGTTGGGATGGCTTGATGAGGAAAAAGACTTGAATATTTAAGTGTAATTAACTCTAAGAAAATCTTAACAGGGAAAAATGTTTTTTGAACATTGCAGGGAAAACAAATTTAAATGAGAACTTTAAAAAGGATTTCCTAAAGAGGAAAACAACCCAAGAAGCATGGGAAACTCTGAAAAATGCAATGACAAAAGCCCAGACCAGCACAATACCACTGAAAAAGAAAAACAAGAAATTCAAGAAGAAACCAGCATGGCTGCACAAAGATTTTTCTGACAAACTGAAAAATAAAAAGGACAAATACAAAAAATGGAAAGAGGGGCACATAACTAAGGCCAATTATCAGCAGAACATGTAAAGATGAAATCAGGAAGCAAAGGCTCAGAATGAACAAAGACAGAACAGAAATCATGGATAATAAAAAAAAAGCCAAGGAAACTGTAGGTCCACTAAAGAGAGAAGATGGCAAGGAAATAATAGGCAATAGGGACAAAGCAGAGCTGCTTAACTCATACTTTCAATCAGTCTTCACACAAAAAGAAACTATACCCCAACATACCAAAAAAACCACTGCAAAAGACAAATTAGAAACAAAAATTAAAATAAACAGGAAAATGGTAAGAGAACACCTATCCAACCTTGACGAATATAAATCACCAGGGCCTGACAGATTACATCCCAGAATTCTGAAGAAGCTGGCAGATGTTATCTCAGAACCATTGCACAACATCTTTCAAAAATCCTGGCGCACCAGGGAAGTACTTGAGGATTGGAAAAGGGCTGATGTTCCTATCTTCAAGAAAGGGGGGAAAAAAACAGATCCAGGAAACTACAGACCAATCAGTTTAACATCAATACCTGGGAAGATTTTAGAAAAGATAATCAAAACACAGATCTGCGAACAACTAGAAGCAAGCAGATTTATAATGTAGCCAGCACCGGTTTGTTAAAAACAGATCATGCCAAACAAACTTATTTCATTCTTCAACAAAGTGACCAAATTAGTAGATCAGCGAAATATTGTGGACATAGTTTACTTAGACTTCAGTAACGGATTTGATAATGTAGACCACAACCTACTCCTTGGTAAGTTAGAAAAAGGTGGAATAGACAACATCACCAAAAGATGGATCTGTAGCTGGCTGGCAAACTGTACTCAACGAGTAGTCCTCACCGGCACTATATCCACATGGAAAGAAGTAAGCAGTGGGGTACCACAAAAGATTCCATCTTAGGCCCAGTACTCTTCAATATCTATATCAATGACTTAGATGAGGGAATTGAAGGGAACTCATCAAATTTGCAGATGACACCAAACTGGCAGGAGTAGCCAATGCCCCAGAAGACAAACTCAGGATCCAAAAAGATTTTGACAAACTTGAATAGGCCCTATCCAACAAAATGGGTTTCAGTGTGGAGAAAAGCAGGAAAAATCAAAGGTACATGTACAGATTGGGCGAGACCTAGCTCAAAAATAGTAACTGTGAGAGGGACCTTGGAGTCCTAGTGGATGATCACTTAACCATGAGCCAGCAATGTACAGCAATACCAAAAAAGCTAATACAATCCTGGGTTCTATAAACAGAGGCATAGAATCAAGATCACACAATGTATTAGTACCGCTTTATAAAAAGCTAGTAAGATCACACCTGGAATACTGCAGCGAATTTTGGTCACCATATCACAAAAAAGATGTTGAGAGTTTGGAAAAAATTCAAAGAGCAACTAAGATGATCAAAGGCTTGGAGACTAAAACATACGAAGAACGACTGCAGGACTTGGGTTTGGCTATTCTAAAGAAAAGAAGAAATAGGGGAGACATGATAGCAGTATTCCAGTATTTGAGGGGCTGCTGCAAAGAAGAGGGGGTCACGTTATTCACCAAAGCACCAGAGGACAGGACAAGAAAGAATGGTTGGAAATTGATCAAAGAGAGAAGCAACCTGAAATTAAGGAGAACTTCCTGACAGTGAGGACAATTAACCAGTGGAATGGCTTGCCTCCAGAAATTGTGGGTGCTCCATCACTGGAGATTTTTAAGAAGAGACTATAGACAGTCACTTGTCTGAGATGCTATAGGTCCTCCTGGTTTAGCAGGGGGCTGGACTAGAAGACCTCAAGGTCCCATCCAGCTCAGTTATATTCTATTCTAAAAAGAAAAGAAAAGGAAAAAACCTCAAGCAGTCTCAAACAGTCCTAGCAAATTGGGGCAACTTAAAATAATGAGGAATAATTTACAAAGACAAATGCAGAAACCAATAGAGGCAGCTCCACTCCTAACTGAAAATATATGTATATTGACTTTGATATGATCAGTTACAAGGGAACTTACAAAATGTAACTTCTTTTGCCCTTGTGATTCTTCCCCCTTTTTGTTTCTTCTTTTCCCCTATTTATTTCCCCCCTTTTTGTTAAACTGACCATTGAAAAAGATGTTCCTTCATTAAAATTTATTTCATTTCTATTTCCTATTGGTTTGTATAATGTTTACAGTAAATTACTTAAGTAATTTGTTAATTTCTGTAAAGAACAGCAGAATTGCATTGTAATATTTGATTACTATCAATTGGAAATTAAATATTTAATTTTATCACGATAGTATTTGTATTTTCTTTTTAGGAGAGTCTGGGCTTTTTTGGATATAATCCAAATATGGTATGGATTGCTATGGCATATGCTTTTTTCTTTCTTGCACACTTTACATATTTATAGCATCAAATGACAGTGAAAATAATAATAAAAGTTAACAGATGACTGCAGAGTTCATGACTTCGGAAACAAAAATCAAATGCATCGCTGTAGCCTGGGGAATACTAGGGCTGATACTTGAGAACAAAATTTGGGAATAGTAGATGATTGCAAATAGAATCTGATCCACTAATGTCATGTGGCTTCAGACAAGGCAAATACAAATTTAGATTTCAGCAACAAATTATAATTTGAAAATCATGGGAAACAGTCATTCTATCTTATTCTACTTTGGTGAGACTCCCATCTCAAAAATACTCCTCAATCCTTTACCCTACTCTTTAAGAAGGATTTAGAGTAGAGATCCCTAACCTTTGGGGCACCAGGGACCGGTTACATGGAGAAAGGTTTTTCCACAGATCGGAGGAGGTGCTGTTTTGTGTGCTGCCTGCATCCTGCAGATGGGGCTTTGCTTATTTGTGTAGAGCAGTTGCTGGCATGCATGCCACGGTCCGGTACTGATCCATGGATTGGGGACCCCTGATTTAGAGAACTTGGGGCAGGATCAGAGATGAGATAACCATAATTAGGAAATTAGAAACTAATTCTTATGAAGAGGAATTTTAGACCTTATTGATAAGAAAATATTGGCTACCCAAAAGGTAAAGATACTATATAGAAAAAAGTAAAGTCCTGTTTTATATAATCTTAGGCTGTAAGTCACAGAATAAAAAGACAGATTCCAGCTGAATGTTGGAAGAAACTTAATGTAGAAGCAATTGCCCAAAATGATAATAGAGTTCCATTTGCGGATTCATGAGGTAGCTAGATAATCTTGCTAGAATGGATGCTTTAATTTAGATTCCTGCATTGAATGGAAGTTGGATTTAACAGACATAATGGGCCTTTTCAACTCTTCGATTCTGTAAGCAGTCTTTGCAGGAATCTAATATATTGTAAGACATTTTTTCTTAGGAATTGAGAAATACTGGGTTAAACTTTCCAATTTTTCTGGTAATTTGTATGGTGCTTTAATTTTATTTGAACCTATTTTGTTAACTTATACTTTAAATGGTTTAAAATACTGAACATATTGTCTAAGTGCACTAAAAAAATTCATACTACATGTTATTTCAGTAAAAATTAATGCAGAATATATTGTATCTTTTTTCAGACTGACAAAATGTACAAGCCCTATAGCAAATCATATGAAGTGATAAGATTTTAGAAAATGACCTTTTAAATAATATCCTTTCTTTTTTTAGAATCGAGAGCTTCAAATCATGAGAAAGCTTGATCATTGTAACATTGTCAGATTACGTTATTTCTTTTACTCCAGTGGAGAAAAGGTAAGTTGAAAAAAAGATATTCTAGAATGTCAACAGATGTGTAGAACAAATGCAAGCAACAGACCAAAGTGTCTGTCTGTTTGAAAATTCATTATCTGACAACAAAAGTAGGGGGTGGTTGAATGCATACACATAATACGTACACAAAAGCAGCATGTATTTTGTCAGAGCATGCAGTCTTATTGTGCGAAATAACCCAGGAGTAAACACAGTAAACATGGTCTATAGTAAATGGTGGTTTATCTTACACTATCTACAATATCATACACCAGGAATAATATATATACATGAACTAATACAGCAGAATCCAACAAACCAACAGTTACAGCAGGAAACGGAAGAAAAACACATCAGCAGAGCCTTCCCTTTATACAAAGGCTCTTAAAGACTCACAGACCCTGCTGAGTCATTCCCGTTATTACATCTTATATTACATAAGCTGGTTAGCTGTTAAATTAATACCTTGACACTCCTCCCATTTAAAGCTAAACAGCTGTCAACCCAAATGCTTTTACATACTCTTGATGCTTACCTGCATTTAAAGGCTTAGTCAACCTATCGGCTATATTGTTGTCAATGGAACAATGCTGTAACTTTATCAGTTTATCTTTTACAGTCTCCCTGATGTTATAATATTTTATATCTACATGTTTGCTTCTGCTTCCAATGTGTTCTCCCGTTGCCATCTTTATACATGCAGCATTGTCCTCAAATATTGGCACAGCTTCTTTTACATCAATATGTACATCTCTTAGTAATTGGACATACCAGATTAATTCAGAACATGCTTCAGACAGTGTTATAAATTCAGCTTCAGCAGTTTGCAATGCTACTGAAGGTTGTTTTGTGTACTTCCATCCAATTATGGTGCCAGTAAACAATATCACAAACCCTGAGTTTGACTTTCTGTCATGCATTTCATTTGCCTAGTCACTGTTTACATAGCATTGTAATGATAAGCCATCAGATAGCTTTATCCTTAGCCGTAGGTTCATTGTGCCTTTTAAATATCTGAATATTCTTTTTATCCCTAACCAGTGTTGTTATTTGGGTGCTGAAGTGTGCTGACTCAAAATGCTAACCGCATTGACTATATCTTGTCTTGACCATTGGGATAAATACAATAAGCTACCTATAGCTGAATGGTACACTTCTTGGTCACATTCTGTGTTGTCTGCTATATCATTCTGGAAGCTTGGTGTCATAGGCGTTAATACACTGTTATAGCCTAGCATTTCCTAACAGCTTATTTTATTTTCCTTGTTTGGCTTAACATATATCCTTCCTGTTTTGGTTTTCTTATCTCCACACCTAGATAATTCTTTATTTCCCTCAGGCTTTTTAACTGGAACTTATTTTCAAGTTGCTTGAAAAAGGAGTCAACCTGGGAGCGATTCTTAGTAATAAAACACAAGTCATCAACATAAACTATCAGGAAACATTCTCCACCATTATACTCCACCGTTATACTGTACAAACATGGATCTGCCTTGCTGCTTCTAAAACCTAGCTCTTTGAATCACTAAACACTGATTCCAATTTCTTGCTGACTGTTTTAACTCATATGGCTTTATTCAATTTATATACATACCCAGGGTGCTTAGTTTCATAACCTGGAGCTTGTGTCATTCATATATATATACATACATACATATACATATACATACATACATACATACATACATACATACATACACACACACATATATATTTTACCTTGAATGTGCACCCTGTCAGCCCAAATATGGGAGAAAGAAATCTTCTTTCTTTTCTTTTCTTTTGCCTGTATCAGTTCAATCCAGAGCCATCCACAAGCAGCAGTCGCCAACTGCGACATCATTTTACATTTTTAGGTTGCTAACAAAGAATAAGAAAAATAACAAAAAAAAAGAGCCGAGGTGGCGCAGCAGTTAGAGTGCAGTACTGCAGGCCACTTTAGCTGACTGTGTTCAGCAGGTCAGCGGTTCAGATCTCACCGGCTCAAGGTTGACTCAGCCTTCCATCCTTCCGGGGTAGGTCAAATGAGGACCCAGATTGTTGGGGGCAATGTAAATATATATATACATTGCTTACTGGTGTACACCGCTTAGAGAGTGCTTGCACTTAAAGCGGTATATAAGTTTCATAAATAAATAAATAAAGAGAGAACTGGTATAGCTATTTCGAGTTCCTTTAACTCTCTTCAGCCAGACTTACTCTTCTGAGATTCGAACCTGGGCTATCTGCATGTTAGGCAGTTGTTATAACCTCTAAGCCACTGAGGTTTTCGCGGGTGTTTGTATGTAGGTCTTTGGTTATTCGGGTTTTCTCCCACGTCAAATTGGAAGTGTCTTGGCGATGTTTCGACGAAGTCTCATTCGTCATCTTCAGGCTAGAAGCATGAAGCCGAAAACATCAGCCTGAAGAGGACAAATGAGACTTCGTCGAAACGTTGCCAAGACACTTCCAATTTGACACGGGAGAAAACCCGAATAACCAAAGACCTATCTACCTACCTACCTACCTACCTAGCTACATACATACATACATACATATATATCTTCCTCTAATTCAGCGTTTAAATATGCAGTGGTACTATCGGAGTGATATATGGTATAACTGCGTGCAGCTGCTAAAGCTAATGCTAGCCTTATGGTCTCACCTCTTACTGTTGGTGCAAACACTTCATCATAATGAACATTTTTTCTCAATGTAAATCCTTGCAAAACTAACCGTGCCTTATACTGCAGTTCATTATTGTGTAAAACCTTTTTATGTAGCCATTTGCACCGCACGGCCTTTTATCCTTCTGTTAATCTCATAAGGGTAAACACCTGATGCACATTCATAGGCTCCATTTCTCTGTCCATAGCCTCCTTCCATTTATCCTGTTCTACTTTAGGTAGTGATAACATCTCTTGGTAATTACGGGGTTTATATCTTACACTATACACCAGGGGCGTCAAACTGCCGGCCCATGGGCCGGATGCATCACGCGGAAGCAGTGCCCACCGCATTGCCAGCAATGGCAAAACTGTCCCAATACGTTGTACGATGTCATGTGACATTGTGAGTTTGACATGTCTGCTATACCTGACTTGCTGAGAACCAGTCAGGAGGTACGCCTTTATTGCTACATTCAGACCTCCTCAGTATCATCTGTTCCTGTGTTTCTGCGACTTCTCTCTTTACCTCAGATCTATCCTCTTCTATTCCTACTGTTTCTGAGCTTCCATTCTGTTCTTCCTTCATTGGGCTTTGTGTAGTCTCTCCTTCCTGAGAACTAGCACTACGTGTTGGTGTGAATACCTCAGTGTTAGCACACACCCTGTCCCAATTGTTTTGTTTTGCAAAACTAGTAGACTTTGAAATCACAACCTTCTTTGTTCCATCTGTGAATCTATACCCTTTGGAACCTGGCTCATAGCCAACAAACCTAAGTTTCCTGGCCTTTTTCTGTCCCTTCCTTCTGGTGTTTCTGGGAATAGCACCCAAGCATAACTGCCAAATGTCCTTAGATGAGCCAATGAAGGTTTCCTTACGTATAACAGGTAATATGGAGTTTCATTGAAAGTAACACAGTAACCTCCTGTGTAATAAATGTACGCAAGAACACATCAGCAGAGCCTTCCCTTTATTCAAAGGCTCTTAAAGAGACACAGACCCTGCCGAGTCATTCCCATTATTACATCTTACATTACATAAGCTGGCTAGCTGTTACATCAATACCCTGACATATTTTAAAGTAGTTTATTAAAAAAAACATAGAAGACAGGATGTTTGAACCAATATTTGCAGTCTGGCTCGTAGTTGAAAGCAACACATATACATCTCATTCTTGTGAAATACTACATTAATCTTTGTGCTTTGAGAAAGAAGCTGATTAAAGTGGATAAAGAGAAAGAGCTATTCTAACTAGTAGCAGACCTCTTAATAGTTAAGTAAATGTTACATCATGACATTATAGGTTAGGGGTGTCAAACTCGCAATGTCATGTGAGGTATCACAACATTTTTTTCATTACTGGCAATGGGGTGGGTGCAGTTTCACCATGATACATCCAGCCCACGGGCTGGCAGTTTGATACCCCTTCTATAGGTCAAAAGGTAAGTACACCTTCAGGGAATAGAATCTGTTTTTAGGTTACATTTTGAATGTTTAAAATGTTGAGGGAGGGTTATAACATACTTATAATATATTTCACTATCTAGTTCCTCGTGAGCTCTTTGGTCACTTCCCTCTTTTTATTCTTTCCCTTTAACGTAGTAGATGAGATTACTTCATAATATTCATATCTCTATATCTCTGTTTTAAATAAAAACTATATGATAAATAGTTGCATAAGTCAAATTTGCATTTGTCAGATAACAAATTTTAGCAAAACGTTATTAAAAATTTCTATACTATTATACTACTATACTATTATACTACGCTATAATAGTAATGAATGTTATGATAGATACCTTATTATTGTTTTTCTTGTTTTCTTGCTTTTTCTCCTTTCCAGAAAGATGAGGTATATCTTAATTTGGTGTTGGACTATGTTCCTGAGACAGTATACAGAGTGGCAAGGCATTATAGTAGAGCCAAACAGACACTCCCCATGATATTTGTGAAGGTAAGTGAAAAGAATTGAGAAACTTGATAATTCTTGGTTATGTTATTTGTCTGTATTTGTACCACTCAGAAAGTTTTGGAAGTGAATTTACTTAGTAGGAAGGCCATCCTTTTTATCTTTGGAGTCAGTATGCTCTAAAGTTGTAACTCCTATTATTTCTCCTTAATCGTTATTTGATAGCAGAATATCCATCACCTCTGTAATGGGGGGTATTCAAGGCCATGTACTTTCACATTTTATTTTATTTGCTTGTTGTTTCTCTTTCTTTTGTTTTTCTTCTTTCCATTTTGCAGTTTGTTTTATTGGAATTGATGCTGACTGTGAGTGATTGACTTTTCACCTCCTGAAAGATTTGTGGAACTTGGGGCTCTATTTAGAATATAATAATAACTTTATTGTCACTTTGAATGTACACTAATCTGCATACATTAAATTGAAATTTCGATGCATCAGCTATCAAAGGGTCACCACCTCTTTTTTTATAAATTTTTATTGATTTTTATTATAATTCAAAAGTACTTATTCAACAAACATTGTCTGAGTTTATCATTTACTAATAGAAATTGAATTCCTAATCCCTTATTCTTTTCTCCAGCCATTGATAAATTAAGTCCCAAATTTGAAAGTATTCTGTTTTGTCCAATATGGTTTTCTTTGTAAGAGGTTGACGTTGTCAATTTATAATTTCTTTCCCACAAGTTTTGCCATTTCTCTAAGTCTATATTGTATCCAAAATTCTTTGCCCATGTTATCATTGTTTCTTTTACTTGTTCATTTTCCATTTTCAAATTCAATAAAAAGTTATACATTTTCTTAATTAGTTTATCATCAGAGGTTAATAATATCTGATCAAACAAGGTCTACTCTTTATAAAATCTGTACAATTTAACATCTTTCTCATATCTCACTTGCATTTGTAAATATGCCCACCATGATAGATCAGTACCCTGATTTTCCATCTCTTGTTTAGATTTTAAATTCCCTACAGAGTTTAGAATATCTTTATATGTCCATATTTTCTCAAGACTGACTAAATTTGGATATACAAATGCTTCCATTGTTGAAAGCCATCCTGGAATTTTCAAGTATATTTTACATTTTATTTTTTCCCATGTTAGTAATAATGCATTTCTAATATAGTGGTTTTCAAAATATTTATGAATTTTATTTTTCCCATACCACAGGAAGGTATGCCAACTGAGTTGTAAGTCATGTCCCTCCAAATACAGCAACCTTTTATTTCTAAGAGTTATCCATTCTTTTACCCATGTTAGTGCTAATGCTTGATAATATAAAACCCATTATGGCAAGCCAAAACCTCCATTTTCCTTAGCTTCTTGTAACATTTTCAGTTTAATTCTAGCTTTCTTTCCTTGCCAAATAAATTTTAAAATTAGAGAATTTAAGTCTTCGAAAAACAATTTCTCTAGTTTCATAGGTATCATTTGAAATAAAAACAATATGTTTGGTAATATATTCATTTTCACCGTAGCAATTCTTCCTAAGATCGACAGTTGCAAGTTTTTCCATTTTTCCAAGTTAAGTTTTATTTGATTCAGTAATTTTATATAGTTATCTTCTCTTATTGTTGAACATCTTGCTGTCAGGTATATTCCCAAGTATTTAACTTTTTTGACTATTTGTAATTCTATTTTTTCTGACATTGTTTTTTTTTGTTTTATCTGTAAGATTTTTAACTATAACTTTAGTTTTTTTCTGTTTATCTTCAGTCCTGCTATCTCTCCAAACTGTTCTATCTTTTCCAATGATTTAGGAATCATCTCTAAAGATTCCTGTAGGATAAACACCAAGTCATCTGCAAATACTTGCAATTTATAAGTTTTACCTTTTATTTCTAGTCTTTTAATTTCTGGGTCTTGTCTAATATTTCTATTTAAAATTTCCAAAGTTAAAATAAATAACAATGAAGATAGTGGACATCTTTGTCTTGTGCCTTTTCTTAATTTGAAATTCTCTGTATAATCTGTATATTGTTTTAATCATATTTATAAAATTTTGTCCAAAATTGTTTTTAGTTGTTGAGTCATAAATTGCCAGGAAACATTATCAAATGCCTTTTGGGCATCTAGAAATACTATTGCCAATTGTTTCCCTGGATGCATTTCATAATATTCCAATATGTCCATTATAACTCTTAAAATTATTTTTTATTTGTCTCTTTGGTAGAAATCCATTTTGATCTGGATGTATAAATTCAGTTAGAAATCTTTTCAGTCTCTTCGCTATTATTGAAATGAAGATTTTATAGTCCACATTTAGTAATGATATTGGTCTGTAATTTTTTATCTGTGTCAGGTCTGAGTCCTTTTTTGGTATCAAAGTAATATTTGCTTCTGTCCCTGTGTTTGGGAGTTTAGCCTCCAATAAAAGTTCATTACACAATCTTTCAACGGTGTACTTAATGTAATAGTAATAGTAGTAAAGTTGGAAGGGACCTTGGAGGTCATCTAGTCCAACCCCCTGCTCGGGCAGGAAACCCTACACCATTTCGGACAAATGGCTGTCCAGTCTCTTCTTAAAAACTTCCAGTGTTTGAGCATTTACTGCTTCTGGAGGCAAGCTGTTCCACTGATTAATTGTTCTCACTGTCAGGAAGTTTCTCCTTAGTTCTAGGTTGCTTCTCTCCTTGATTAGTTTCCACCCGTTGCTTCTTGTTCTGCCTTCAGGTGCTTTGGAAAATAGCTTGATTCCCTCTTCTTTATGGCAGCCCTGAGATATTGGAATACTGCTATCATGTCCCCCCTTGTCCTTCTCTTCATTAAACTAGACATACCCAATTCTAGCAACCGTTCCTTATATGTTTTAGCCTCCAGTCCCCTATCATCTTTGTTGCTCTTCTCTGTACTCTTTCTAGAGTCTCAACATCTTTTTTACATCGTGGTGACCAAACTGGATGCAGTATTCCAAGTGTGGCCTTACCAAGGCATTGAAGAGTGGTATTAATACTTCACGTGATCTTGATTCTATCCCTCTGTTAATGCAGCCTAGCACTGTGTTGGCCTTTTTGGCAGCTGCCGCACACTGCTGGCTCCTATTTAAGTGATTGTCTACTAGGACTCCGAGGTCCCTCTCACAGTTACTACTATTGAGCATGGTGCCACCTATGCTGTACTTGTGCATTGGTTTTTCTTGCCTAAATGTAGAACCTTGCTTTTTTCACCATTGAATTTCATTTTGTTAGTTAGTGCCCAGTGTTCAAGTCTGTCCAGATCCTTCTGTACCTGAAGCCTGTCTTCTGGATTGTTGGCTATTCCTGCCAGCTTGGTGTCATCTGCAAATTTGATGAGTTCCCCATCTATCCCTTCATCCAAATCGTTGATGAAGATGTTGAAGAGTACTGGGCCAGAACAGAGCCCTGGGGCACCCCACTACACACTTCCCTCCATATAGATGCAGTTCCATTGAGGACCACTCGCTGAGTACGGCCGGTCAGCCAGCTACGGATCCATCTGGTGGTGGTTCTGTCTACCCCACATTTTTCTATCTTGTCAAGTAGTAGGTTGTGATCTACTTTATCAAATGCCTTACTGAAGTCCAAGTATCTTGTAGACGTTTGTACAACTCTGCCGGGAGCCCATCTGGACCCGGTTTTTTTTTTTTGTCTTCTTATAGCCTCTGTCAGTTCCATCGTTATTTTCTCATTTAACATGGTTTTAATGTTTTCTGGAATTTTTGGTAAATTATTTTTTTCCATATATTGAATCGTTTTCTCACATGAAATTTCTTCTATATCATACAGTTTCTCGTAATATTCTTTAATTATCTTTTTTTATTGCTTCATTTTTAAATTGCAAACAGCCTTTTTCATCTACTAAATTGTTTATCATTTTTTCTCCTTCTGTTTTTTTAAGTTTGTAAGCTAGTTTATTTGCATTTTCAAAAAAAGTTTTGTTTTGCTCTTTTAATTTGCTGTGCCAATTTTTCTGATTCTATTAAATTTAATTTATGTTTTATTATTTCCATTTGTCTTTTCAGTATTTCCTTTTGTGAATTTATTTGTAGTTCTAATTCTAGTTTTTTAAATTCTTCCCTTAACAGTATATATTGTCTTTTTGGGGGGGGGGTTTCACCATGTATATTATAGCTACACCTCTAAAGTATGCTTTGGCTATATCCCATACGTTTTGTAATGTTGTATCTTCTTTTTTATTTTCTTTTATTTTAAAAAAGCTCCATTTCTTATATTGCTAATTCTATACATTCTTTCTTTTTTAATATGGATTGGTTCAGTGTCAATCTTAATTTTTTTTGTATTCCTTTCTACGTCATTTTTACAGGATTATGGTCTGCCCAAGTGCCTAGTTCTATTTCAATCTCCTGCATATTAGTTCTTAATTCAGGCATCATCCAAATCATGTCAATTCTGGACCAAGATTTATGGCTATTCTTGTAGAACGTATATTGTAATTTTTCTGGATTGGTTTCTCTCCAAGTATCTTGTACACCAATTTCCTCTATCATGTTAAAAAAAGTCTTAGGTAATCTTTTTCTTCCTCGTTTTCCTGTTTTGCTATTTTTATAGTCTAATGTTCCGTCTACTACTGCATTAAAATCCTCTACTAGGCAAATGTTTTGATATTCCATTTCTGCTGTTTTTCTATGAAGATTTTGATAAAATTCTTCTTGTTTATTGTTTGGTGCATATATTACTACCAAAATCAGCTGTTTTTGATGTAAAAATATTTCTACCATCACAATTCTTCTTTCTTCATCTGAATACATCATTTTAGAATCTATTGTCTCTTTAACGTATACCGTTACTCTTTTTTTGTTGTTGTGCTGATGCATAATAAAGTTTCCCAATTTTTGAGTATTCCAAAAGTTTATAGTATTGTTTTTTTATATGTGTCTCTTGCAGACAAATTATATCAATATTTAATTTCTGCAATTTTTTTAAGATTCTGTTCCTTTTTGATGGGGAATTTAGTATTCACTGAAAATTTTTTTTTCCTTTTTCCTTTTATTTACTTATATTTAGG